AGAGGGAGAAGCAGACTCCCTGCCGAGCAGGGAGACCGATGCGGGACTCCATCCCGGGACTCCAGGATCATGACCTGAGCCGAAGGCAGTCGCTTAACCAACTGAGCCACCCAGGCGCCCCGACAAATTTTTCAAAAGCATAGTGTATAATATAATGTGAAAGGGGAAGTAAAGGGATCACAAATATTGACTCAGAGGTTTTATTACCAGTAAGCCATGAGGATTTCTATACTTTCATTAAGAGTAAAGTATATTTATCTATTTTACTGATGACTGTGGGAAACTGAATGTTTAAATGTAATATCCTTCTATAATAGGATATCTGAAGGTTTTAAAATAAAAATACAATCTTTTATTATATACACAGAAGGAGGTGAACTTTTAATTTTGCTGGATGAAATGCATAATTCCTGACCTCAGGGAGTTTTTATTTTAAAAAAATACTGTAGTATTAAACTTATGCCTCTCTGCCTCTCTGCCTCTCTCTCTCTTCTGGGTGTGTTTAGTTCTGCTAAAGTCAGTGTTTCATATGGAAACACTTAACCTTCTCTTAAAACAACCTCTCAGGGGATGAACTTGGTTTTGCTCATTTCGTCCTCCTTCCTTTTGGCTGTTTATTTCTTAGCTTTCCACATGATCTAGGACTTTGTTTTTCTATCAAAATCTTCTTCTCTCCCCTTCCCTTCTTTTCTTCCCTCCTTTTCTTTCCATTCATCTTTCCTCTCTCCCACCTCCTATCCTCTTTCCTTCCTAGTACTTTTTTTTTTTTTTAACTTTAAACCTAGATTGACAATATGGAGAACATTTCTTGGGTGGTGACTCTGGATTCTTTGTTAAGAATGCTGTCCTTCGGGCGCCTGGGTGGCTCAGATGGTTAAGCGTCTGCCTTCGGCTCAGGTCATGATCCCAGGGTCCTGGGATCGAGTCCTGCATTGGGCTCCCTGCTCCTTGGGAGCCTGCTTCTCCCTCTGCCTCTCTCTCTCTCTCTCTGTCTCTCATGAATAAATAAATAAAATCTTTAAAAAAAAAAAAAAAAGAATGCTGTCCTTCATTGTGGCACAGTCCAGGAATGAGATTGTTGATTTAGTGCAAATGCCACATTCCTGAGCTTTCATTTATGATAAAGCAGCAGTTGAAACAAGATGATTTCTCTTTTCTCCTGAAATATATATATGTGTGTGTGTGTGTATATATGCATATATATATATATATACATATATATATACCAATTAAGAAATATGGGAAGAGAAGTAACTTGGGTGTTGTTTCTTAAGTGTAAATAAAGCACACAATGAAACCACATATCCACCCAGTTGCCCAAGAGGCATCCTTAGCCACCCTCCCATTCCTTTTACGAAGTCTAATTGTTCACATTTTTGAGTAGCTTGATAGCTTTCAAATTCTGCTCTGCACCATCACTCTTCTGGGACACTTCCCTGTTTCCCCTCTAGCCTTGCTCCACTCAACCCACATTCCCACTGTCAGGCCCAACAGTCCAGGCATGCACAAAATTCTCCAGTAGTTCTCATCATCTGCAGGTTAAAATCAACTCCTTTTGCTTCTGCCCACCCTGCTCTTCTGCTAGGAGTCCTTTTATGATCCAATTAGAGGATGCGATCTTGTGTCTCTGTGACTCGTAAGGCATTTATATTTTCTGGAAAACCTTATCTCCAGACACTGATATTAACTATTCGAGCATCCCTATAGAAGAAACTTCTCCTGAGAAGACTTCCGTGACATTCTAATCCACAGGGAAGTTTGCTCAAGTCTCTCTAAATTATTATGCTTTGATGGAGACACATGAATCTCTGGAAAAGTCCCATCAAAAGACTGTTCTTGAAATATTTGTCCAAATTTCTTTTGGGGAAGAGACTAGGTGTGGTTTAAGGGAAATGACAAGGCAGCCCCTCCCCAGTCTGCATGCCCCACCCAGCAAAGCAAAATCCCCCATAGTTAACTTGACCAATCCCCCTAGATGGCAGTTGCATGACCCAGGCCCCTAGGCCATTTCACTGCCTATTTCAAGTGGCTTATCAAAGTTCAGTGTTCCTTCCAACTTTCCTTAAGAGAAGTTCTGATAATTACAGTTTTACACCCATCCTTCCAGTGATGCTGTGGTGCCTCAGTGATGTTCTGGAGACAAATGGACTATCCAGGTTACTTTGATTTTTTTGCATATTTGTCTCCCAGTAGATATAAACCTCTTGAGGTCAGAGGTATTTATAAATTTTAATCTTTGTATTTGCAGCAAGTAGCACAATGCCTGGGACATAATGTCAGCCATGTGAATATTTATTGATTGTATGGATGACCCATTTTTTTTTTTGGTAAGATTTTATTTATTTGAGAGAGAGAGAGAAATCACGAGCAGGGGCAGAGGGTAGAGGGAGAAGCAGACTCCCCACTAAGCAGGGAACCTGATGTGGGACTTGATCCCAGGACCCTGAGGTCATGACCTGAGCCAAAGGCAGATGCTTAACCAACTGAGCCACCCAGGCACCCTGAATGACCCGTTCTTACAACTAAGCTTTGTGTGTGTGGTTGTTTAAATATACAAAGTATCACTTTATGAAAACAGTTATATTTTAACACAAAGTCAAACGTAAGGGAACTGATGTCTGCCATTGGATTATCTCAAATGGTGGTAACCATTGCTTTCTTAACTAAAAGTCATTATCAATAGGTCAGCACACTCAGGTATTTAACCTTTGGTACCTTTGCCCTGGCCCTGAAATTGCCAGGCAAACAATTCTTGACAGCTTCACAAACTAATTCTGAACTGTCCCCTTGAAATCTGGAGAAGAGCCCTCAGTGTGTGAGCACTGTCTGCACATTTCCTGGTTGACTAGACCATCCAGAGAGAATGCTTCAGTTGGCTGACTAGAATGTGTAATACTGAAACGAAAGTAAATATTTACTTAAAAGGAAAGTAAGGCCAGAAGAAACCCAAACTAGATGTTCTCACTTGTTTGCATCCAATAATGTATATCCCATTACATGAACGTTTTATAGTAAGAGCTAGAGTTGAATTGAGTCAGGCAAGCTAAAAAAATGAAGGCGGCTTTAAATGAAAGAATCCACCAAACATCACTGATCCCACCCCCCTCTGAATATTACCATGTACACCAGCTTTATGATTTACTATGACATATTTCTATAAATGGTCAAGTAGTTTTTTCTCTGCATCTTAACTCTCTGATTAATGCATTTTCATCGTCCCAGAAGGTAAAGAACCTGGGTTCCCCATGTAGTCTTTTCTCGAAACTGTATTTTGGGGCTTTTCCTTCTCTTATTTTTTTTCCCTCCTTTTATGACATCCCTACTACTGTTTGAAGCCTTTAAACGCCACATCTTTTCCTTTGAAGGTCCCAGCTACAAAGGTTTTTGTTTTTTTTTTAATTTAAATCATACTAAATTTAAACATTTAAACTTGAATTTAAGAAAAAGAAATCCTAAGACTTTTCCTTGATTGCGGGAAGTATGTATTTATGATACAAGGCTCTCGCAGCCTGAACACTGGAGACCCCACCAAGGGCACCTAGCCACTCCCTAGAAGCAGCAACAACCCCAGGGAAGCCTCAGCTACAACCTGGTGCACTGGTCCAAGCCCCCAGCAAGATCCTTAGTTCTCCGTGTGCTTAGTGTGGTAAGACAGAACCCGGTCCTGGTCTCCAATTGTCTTATCTTTTGCAAATGTTTCAAACTTACTGTCTTTGTTCAGCAGAACCACGGGCACGGTGATGACGGTGACGAGCGCAGCGAGCCCCAGCAGTCCCAGGAGCACTTTCCACGGCGTCTGCAAGCCGGTCAAATCGTATCCAGTTAGAGCGAGCCCTTTGGCCCCAGTCTGGCAGAGGCAGAGTGTCGGGGCCCGCGCTGCACCCTAGGCGGCGGGATGTGCCCATGGGCGAACATCCGGAAGAGGGGCACAGTGGGCTGAGAGGGTTTGGAGTGCGGAGGTTGCAAGAGCGGTTGCCCTTGAACTTGTGGCATCAGAGCACATTAGCGTTTGCTTCTCTACGGCCTCTTGCACGTCAGAAGCCGAGTGAGGGAGAAGCCAAGTGAGGGTTCGAGCGTGCGTTTTATGGGTGCTCTCTGCATCCTCCCAGGCTTCGCGCCTGGTACTAGCAGAAACCCCGGGGGGCCGAGCGCCAGGCGGGGGCTCTGGGACGTCCCTTCACCTGTCACAGGGTGGCCCTGGAGCTTCCACCGAATAGGAGCCCGTGGTCCCGTTCCTCGAGCTTCGGGGTCAGTTTGGGGGAGAGTCTGGTGAAGAAGCACCTACAACGCGACCCTGGGGTTAGGGAAAGGCGCCACTCAACTCACCTTCATCGTCGGTGTGGGCCCGGAACTGAGTGTTCGGAGCAGGAGCGCAGGCAGAAGTCAGGCGAGCCGCAGAGACCCGCGTCCAGCTCCGCAGCTCGGGACCGCGGAGTCACTCTGCGCTCCCAAGTTTCTGCCCCGAGTTAAACATTAGTGAGTGCCCAGCCCGCTCGGTATAAAGGCCGCGGGCAGGCTGCCGGCGAAGGCGCGCCGGGCGCCGGGCACTGGCATCCCGGCCGGAGGGCGCCCGAGAGGCGCCTCCCCCGTGTGCAGGGCGCTGGGCGGCAGCCGGGGCGCGCAGGGTGCAGGGCCCCCGGGACGCGCGGGCGGGGTTGCGAGAGCCGGAGCCGGGGTGAGCCGGCGTCTGGCACCCGGCGCGCACACAGTGGTCCGCCCTAGCGGAAAGGGACCTTGGCGCTCGGCTCCCATGGGGTCTGCAAACTCACGGCTTACTGCTGGCAGCCCAACTAAAACCCAGGCCTCTGTTTTTTTTGCTAGTGAAAGTCTGTTGGGAAGTAGTGGGGTGTTTAAAGCTTCTGGAAGGCAAAGGGAGAGAAAAGGTGATTGTGTCTTTGTGAATGGCTCTTAAAGGCTAAGTATCTGAATTCACCCTCCGTAGGGAATTTCCAGCTTGTCTTGCAGGCTTACCTTCTTATCACGATGCCAAAAATAACAAAAATACTTAGGTGGAACATACTTTTTCCCGGGAGCTGCTCTAAGCATTTACTGTGTTTATCTTACAGGGAGAAAGCCTAGGCACAGAAGGGTTAAGTTACTTGTCCAAGTCGCTCAGCTAGGACGTCCTGGAGCCTGAAATCAGAATCCATGTTCTCAACCATCGCTTCACACGGCTTCTCATCTTTCAGTCTTGCAAAGAGAGTTTAGGAAGGAGAAAAAGGTTGGATGTGGCTTCTCCCTTCCTCAGCTCCCCGCTGTGCCCTGTAGGTTCATTCCTTTCTCCCTCCTTTCCTGCCCAGTAGGTTCCTTTCATCCTTCCTTCCTCCCATCCTCTGTGGCATTTATTACCATTTATTCTGCCCACTCCCCAAATATTTGAGTGGTTGCAAGGTGCCAAACCCTCTTCTGGTTGCTGGAGAGAGACAAGTGGGACAAGATGAGGTCTGTGCATTTGGCACTTTCAGTATAAAATACTCTGGTAAACATTTGCCTTTAGGGTCTCTCTATACTTACTTCCTTTCTTGAGGATGAGTACTCCCACCCCCTTAAAGGCCTCTCCAGCTTGGGTTCACTGCCGCTGAAAAGCAAAGCCTCAGTGTCCATAGTTAGAGGTAAAAGATGAAACATGCAAAGTCCTGTGGGACATTAACACATGGTTATGAATAAATTCAAGTTTTCATCCTTTATCTCAAGTGCTGACTTTCCTTCTAAGCTCTGGACCCCTGGTTGCTCTTGATACCTACATATGCTCACCCACACCCCCCTCCAGGGGCTCAAACTGAACTCTTCACCTCCTCTGTCAGTTTCTCCCTGCCCTTCTCTGATCATCTCTGTCTTCATTAAAAGTGTTCCTGTTCACCAGCACAAAAACTGAAAACTTCGGTCATCTCAGGTTTTCTTCTCCATTCTCCTACTATATTCACTTGGCCATCAGTTCTTCTCAAATCTGCCTTTACAAGTGTATCTCAAATCCATCCACTCCTCCCTTTCCCACCTGCTCAGAAGGTGAGTCAATAGGGCTACTGGAGCCTGTGAGCTGGGGCTGTGAAAAGAGCCATCCAACAAGGACTACAGGAAATGGTGCCATGCGGGGGGGCTCAGTGTTCACCTCTGCTGGGGGAGGGAAGCCACAAGTCACATCAGCCTTGGGGAGGGAAGGCAATACGGCTGAGCCCATGCTTAACCTCCATGCCTGTATCAGGGCACTGTACATTCAGCAAGGGGAAGCTGGAGGGAGGTTGGCTGATATCCACGGGACAGATGATCCTGTTCTCTGGAGGGTATTCCATGAGACACAAATAACCTTCCCACTCTTCCCACGTCAAGATACTCCTTCCCAAATCTCCCCTATCCCAACTTCTTTATCACCAGTCTTTCAGTCTTGTTTTTTTTCCGAGTCCCTAAGGAACCAGCTGGCCAACACATTAGCCACCTCCTATGAGTCAGTGTTGATCTTGTATCAGGCAGTCTGTCTTTCCAGACAAAATGGAAAAACAGCTGTAATAAGAGTTCTATCCCTTAGAAAGATTTCTCTTCTTACCGTATTTCAGGGTATCCCTGAGCAGGTCTGTGACTGGGAGGCATCCACTTGGGATTTGTGCCGGATCACTTTGCATATACGGCTGGCTCTTCCCTCCTGTTGCCTGGCTCTCCAGAACTTTCTGTGGAGCTGCAGGTGTGTGCTCAGCGAGAGACATGGAAGCGTTGAGGAAGCCATCATGAAGCCTAAGCTCTCTGCTCATGTGCTTTTCTTGTGCCTGCTCGACCATTTAGGCTCTTCGGCCATATCTTAAAAATACCATTTTCACTTCACGAGATGCCGCTCCTCCAGAAAAGACATGTTGGAGTCCTAATCCCCAGTATTTCAGAAAGTGACCTTATTTGGAAATAGGGTCTTTACAGAAGTAATCGGGTTAAAGAGAAGTACTTAGGGTGGGCTCTTATCTAACATGACTGGTTTTAAGAAGGGGGAAGTTGGACACAGAGACAGACATGCACACAGAGAAGATGAGGTAAAAAAAAACACAAGTTGATGATCATCTCCAAGTCAAGGAGAGAAACTCGGAACAGGTGCTTCTATCACAGGCTCAGGAGGGGCCAACCCTGCTGATCCCTCGATCTGGGACTTCCAGCCTCCAGAACTGTGAGATAATATATGGCTGTTGTATAAGCAGCCAGCTTGTGGTACTTTGGTACAGCAGTCCTAGCAGGCTAATGTGCTTGGCATTCCCTGATCATGCGCTCTGTCTCTACCAGGACCCTCTAGAAAGAGAGGAGTTGATCTTCATGTAGTGAATAATTGTTGACTGCTGTAGCCAAAGTCTAAGATGGGTCCAAAGTTTTGGGGGTGTTTTATTATACATGGATAGATAATTAATAAATTGGCAAAGAGGGCATGACGTGGTTCTAAAAATCCTAGGCATATACTCGGTGATTCTCTTCTTGGGGCTTGCCAGAGGCTTTGTACAGGATCTCTAGCTGCCACTGACATGTCTAATAACTATTGTGTCTGTTAGGTCATTAAGATCCAAATATCAGAGCAGCCTCAACTTGGGAGCCCTCTCTTGCTCCAGGTTCCATTCAAAATAGACAGGCTTAGAGGCTACTGAGCAAATGGGTTGGAGAAGCACATCCAGATGTGGTATATTATTTCTCCCAAATCTGAAGAGTTCTGGCAAACATTGTTCCTCTTCGTGGTGGGCATACAAGGAATAGTGCCTTATCTTTCACCTTAGAGGGGATAGGCTGACCCACTCCAGACTACTGAATTCCTTGAAACTTTGCACAATTTTCATGGGATTTACCCTCTACTCTGTGGCCATATTTGTCTTACTACAGCACTTGAAGAAATTGCTCCTTATTGCACTTAAGGTCCAATTAACATAATGTTACCCATGTGATGGACCAGTGTGATGTTCCATGGGATATTAAGATGGTCAAGGTCCGAGGAGACCATACTATGACAGAGAGCAAGAGAGTTGACATAACTCTGAAGTAAGATGGTAAAACTACACTGCTGACCCTTCTAAATGAAGGCAAACTCTTTTGGACAGTACTATTAATTAGATCAAGAAAAAAAATATTCTTCAGGTTAATAGCACCCAGATACTAGGACTGTGTTGTTGGACCCAGTAAAATTACCACCGTGGAAATGGCAGCTGAGATTGATTATCATTTTCCAGAATTCATCTTACTTTTGCACTGGCTGAACAGGGAAATTTATTGTGTATAGGATAGAGAATAAGCATTCTTGCATTTTTTGGGTTCTTAGGTAATGACACTAATCTCTGTACTCACCCAGGGGTGTGGTATTACTTTTGCTTTTACCATTTGGATGTGGAGGAGAGACAGTTCCAGGGGCTTCTGCTTGGTCTTTCTTACTATAATGTCCCTTCATGAGCCAGGGAGTGCAGAGTCTAGAAGCTGAAAAAGTAAGGAAAGGAATTCTCCCCTGGAGCTTCTAGAAGGAATGCACCTCTGATAATACCTTGACTTTAGCCCAGTAGGACCTCTTTCAGAGTCCTGACCTCCAGAACTGTAAGATGACACATTTATGTTGGCTCAAGCCCCCAGGTTTGTAGTTTCTTATTATAGCAGCAAGAGGAAACTAAGACACCACTGGACCATAGTGGTGTTTTAACTCTGTAGAAATGAGGGCCTAGGGCCAGTGTTTAGTAACTCCTGGGAGGTCTGAGCATGTCCCTTTTAACAGGTCATTTTCAAAGTTAACTGTACGTCACGTGTCCTCCCAAGGAAGACTTGGAAGAAGACGACGTATTCAGTGTGGCAGCTCTGCAGGCTCCTTCCTCAAAAAGATCTGGCCTTCATTTTAAACATGGCGTTCTGGCCTGAGAATGCACTGGTTTGAATCTGAAAACGTGATGGGAGGCCATGAATTCCTATTGTGGCAACTTAAGGGAGATTTCTGCCCCAGACCTAGAATTTTTCTGACTGCTTAAATCCAGCCCTAGTTTAGAATGCTGCCCATCTCTTTCATTCTTAAGTACCTTATGATAAGTGAACCACCATCACTGCGGGTGAAACACTCTGGTTACCATGTTACCCCTGTGGCTGTTGATGGGAATAACCCCTTTTAAGAACCCTGAGTGTTGGGGGTGGGGTCACCTAGAGAGCGCTCTTGCCCTGCAAAGATGCAGCCAACGTCAGATTGCAGCACAGAGTAGATAAAAAGCAGAAGGATTAAATAGTTTGGTCCCTTTCTCCTACTTCTCTTTAATACCTTGCTGATATTGGCTGAACCCAACTAAAGGCAGAGGGCGAAGAAGCCTGGATACTGGGGCAAGCTGTCTATAGGGGTCAGCTGCATAAGGCAGTGGGCAGGGAAGGTAAGGTTGAGGAATGAATAGGAGGGTCCAAATGAAAAATAACCAAATAAACAGCCCAACACCATTATAGTGTATATTATTTGCTAAATCATCTCCTCATAAAGGTTGGAAATGTTCCATTTATTCTTTTATCATTTTCTTCCATCTTTCGTGCTCTAGGGCCTAGGGAAATGCTCAGAACACAACAGTAGTCAATGTATTGAAAAAA